ACTTGATATAACTTCATTGGAGCATGCCCCACATGCTTGGGTCCCCTTTTAGCAGAACATGTACTGCAGGTCCTGCACCATTTTTCCACATCTTGCTTCATACCTATCCAGTAAAATCTCTGTCGTAGGTGACTCAATGTCTTCCTGTTACAGTATCATGGAATTGACGCATCACAACTTCCCGTAACTTTCTTGGTATAACTGTTTGCCAGGTCGTCACTTTCCCATCTGCAGTTTCCCGTCTCTGGAGAAGAATACCATCTTCAAGCTTCAACTGGCCCCATTGTGTCCAATAGTTCTTTGTCACAGGGCTTAAGCTAGACACCTTCTCCCAAGCAGGGTGCAAAACACTTGCTTTTAGAAAATCAATTATTGGCTTCAAATCTTGATCTTTCTCCTGTTCTGCTTTGATATCTATATTTGGTTCCACTGTCTCCCTATCTCTCTGTCTGCTATCCAATTATCTATACTGTCACTTTATTTGCCGGCTTATATACTATAAGAGCGCGTGTCTAGCAAACGCTAGGACGTTCGAAAGGTTCCTCGATCTTTCTAGAACTCCAGCGCATGCTCCCAGCGTCGCGCGACTTCCGCTGTCGTAACATTACTATATCTAGCCGTAACTACGTATAATTACAAACATAATGATTTTCCTCTTCAATTATTAAAACAACTATTACAGTTAAAGAGAGAATTCAAGACCAATCTGTTCCTGTACTTTACTAAAAGATATGTAAATAATTCACTAGCTTTTCTTCATATCAAATAAACTTCTCTGAGTTAAAGGTTATGGACAGAATGTTAGGCATTTTTTTTTGTCAATAAGTCACTTAAGTACGTGTGCAGAAGATTATTGAACTATCCTTAAAAAATCATTTTTAATACATAAGTGTATACCACGATGACTCTGTAAATTACTATTTTCAAAGTGTTTCAAAATACCGTAGATTATTTATAATACTCGTGTTTTGACATTGCAAATTCTGAATTTTTTACACAAAAATTGAGAACCTTGGCCAGCCAAATTGTATTTATCTATGTATGAAGGGAAGAGAAGAGAGAGGGGTTCAACTAGGACTGAGATTATCTGTGAATTATTGTTATTATATTAAACATACAGACATTCGGCAAAAACAAACTAATCCGTTACAGTTTTCGACGCTGACTTTGTTTAGCAATCTCAAATAATGAAAGTAAACTTAAAGTTATTAATAACAACATAATAAATGGATAAAATATGTTAAATAAATTTAAATTATTAATAATAATATTTTGCCTATAATAAAATCGTGCAATATTCAAAATTTTATACACAATAAAACTACCAATGTTAACCTGATAATCTCATTAAAGTAATAATACATATATATTGTAAATTAACTATAATTACTTGTATTAACACACGGTTAACAATACAAACCTTCTAAAGTAATAAACTCCTGGTTTTGTCCACCTCTAGAAGCCACAGTTTCTGTCCATCCGATATCACTGCAAATTAAAAATATATTGTTTAAACGGTTTCTATTGTTGGGTATGTTTTTGTTGTTGTTTTCATTATTCGGTTGTTCAGTTCATTTAGTAATAATAAAAGTTTTATTTCTTCGACTAAACTTCAAGCTTTTCAAAGTAACTTTAATAATGTTCGATGATAGGTCTACGTTCACAGTAGACGTTAATAAAACAGCTTCACTTGCTAACGTCTTACGTACACATGACAGTTTCTCGTATCTCTGGTACTTAGTCGAAACACGCACTAAATACTCACAAAACTTAACCAACAGACAAACTCGCTAACTCAATAATCAAACATCACTTACGCCACCATAACTCACGTTTTACATCCTTTAACTAGTCTTATATACTTTTAAAGAGGTTCTAGGCACTAAACCACACTCGTCACGTGATTTAAAACTCCCTCTGACCAACAAACAACGATACAAACGTCTAAATTTTCGAATTAGTTAATGTACATTCAAAAGTTCTTAAAATTTTGGAAAATAATGTTTGAATTACATCTCAATAACAAAATGAATATAAAAAAAAAATCAGCAAAAAGGAAAACCCGACGGACATGTATGCTTGTCTTTATATTGATGCATGAAAAAAATGCCAATAAAAATGTACGTTTTGGTAGATTGGTCTATTAACCCTCATGCACGAAGCCTAAAACTTGAAGCTAGTAAAACAGTTACTATAGTAAGTATGGTTTATTCTTACTATAACTGAATAACTCCACCTGTACTCTCGTCTCCCCAAGCGAAACTACATTCTTGGGTTAGGAAATATTTACAAATGTTTACAATATTTATAAGTGTTAACGTACAGCTGTATACATTGTTTACCTTATAGGCCTACACACTCTCAGCTCCACCTGGTGGTCTTGTCTTGACTCAGAGATAATGTCAAACACTTCTTCGTACGTTCTACCCTGTAAAGAATGCCCGTTCCACTCGAGCACCTCGTCTCCTGTAAAGAAAGGTCGGAAATATTCGTTAAATCTTTATTTGTAAGAAAAGTTCTGAAGTGGCTTTGTATCGAGTAACATAATTGAAGGGCTTAGTTGTGTTGTCTGCTATTGTATTTAAATACACTCTTTCGAGTATTTGTCTGTTTTCGTAAGTTTAGTTAAGTATTTCACGAGACAACTTAAGCTGTTTTGAATTTGTTGCAATTTTCTTGAGCTAACTATAAAAGTAACTCGTTCTAATATAATGTAAAATAATGAGTTAAATTGACTAACAAAGTACCTATAAACACTTCTCAATTACTACTGGAAAATTTTCGTATAACCATTAGAACTTTCATTTTAAATTTCTCGATCTCTCACCCGATTATTAGCATCACGCAAAGTTAAAGTTTCAACATGTTCACACCACTCGGTGTTAGACAAGTTCGAATAATATCTATAATTATTTAATGTTAAAGCAAATCCTTACCCAAATACACTAAAATATATTCCTGCCATAAGTGTAGCTTTCGTTTCTAAGAAATATTAATACTAGAAGTGCGCAATTTTATATGTTTAATCTTGTTCATCCATGTAAATAGTTTACGTTGCTTTTATTTTGTACTGTTTTAACTATAATTGGCGGAACCTTAACAGAGATCTGGAAATCTATGAAAATCCAGGATTCTGGAATTGGTATGTATAATCCTATTTGAGGAGTCATTCACTAATCCTGGAATGTCAAGACAAATCCTGGAAAGCGGAAACACTAGTTTCAAAGGGATGAAATGCTACTTGACAAGTTACCCTTGTGTCTAGTCTATTCACCATGGCAATACTAAAAACCGCTAACGACGCACTACTGTTGGCGTTTGTGGTGAAGAAAGACACTGCAAAGAAATCTTATCTTCTCGTATCATGTCAAAAATCAAAACTATAAAAAGTAATTTTGTTAATAAAAAGAAAGGTCTGATATCGTTAGAAAAAAAGTTCATCAAATTACATAATGTTAAAAGGTAAGTTTAGAAATGACAAAAACAAAACAAAACAAAATCTAAACAGAATTGTCTTTAAATAAAATATAAACTTACCACTTCAAGTTAGGCTTAGTGTACGCTTTTTTTTATGGCGCCCCTTTCTAAATATTCGTTTTGTTGTATCCTCTCCCCTCATTTTCCCTTTTTAATTGTTGTTATTATATTACTTAATAGTAATATTAGTACAGTAGTTTTTTTAAATTTTTCAGTTTTAAATGTGTACTTTCATCACGGTTCTAATTCTCTCAAGTCACAACAATCGTGACTTTTCCTAAAATATGTTTGGTTGCTGGTTTCTTACAAATATGGATGATGTACATTGTAACTGTACGCTTTACTGTTGAAATAAGGTTACTGATCACTGTCTTATTCATGTTTGGTTAGTTTAGTAGATTTCCTGAAATGCATATATTTTTATGTTTCGTTCTTTTGAGATTTTTCATATCATCTTTACTAATTTTATCAAACGTAAAAACCCATTCATATTCTTCTAAATTAATAGTGGGAAATAAAACGACCACAATAACACAGAGATTTTCTGAAATTTTATCCGGTAGTATTTAATTTTATGGCAAAGCTACAAAGGCTGTCTGTTGTCGTCCATAATTCTGAACTAATTACCGGAAGGAAGGCAGCTAATCAACATCATCCACGCTAAGAGACTGACTGTCCCTTTTATAACTCATTTACAGCTTAAAGTGCGGAGAATATCTTGCAATATCGCAAGAATTCGAGCTCGGCTCGCTAGTTCCAAAATCCAGAGCTCATCCACAGGGCTAACCCGCGCACAAATTAGTAAAGAAAGTTGAGGAAGTAAAACAAAATGTCACGCCTGTATTTACCTCGGACCCATGTGTTAAAATTCTTATTATTTTAAAATAGGTACTACTTCCTGTTTTCTAATTATGTATCTACGTATAACAAACTTACTCAGCAATAAATCATACATCACAGTCAATTAACTTATTTAACTATAATTAAAATAATATAACAATTCTTAGATAATAAATACAAACAAATTATCTTCATGAACTTTAAAGGAACTTTTCAGAGTTTGAACCCTTATAAGAATTTGTAGCTACATTAGCTATAAGGATTTAAAATGGAAGAAATATTTAAACAAAATACACAGCACCATTTTTTTCCCACTTTATATATAGTTCAACATTTTAGCTTACAATATTTAAGACTGTCATAAAACAAACAGTATAGAGATTTCATGTAATATATTTAGTGATTTAATATAAGCGATTGCCTAATATAAAACTAAACATTTGATGTTTTTATATTAATTAATCATGATGAAGGCTCTTTATTAAACTAATGAGCCAACTTTTCAAATAATATTGATGATAAGAATATCAAATTCGCCTCTCACCTGGCCGCAGGTGTCCGACAATATCAGCCACACTTCCCTTTTTCACTTTTTCTACCAAAGCACCAAGTCGACCTGAACCCAAGAATCGTCCACCGACAACCTTCAGGCCCAAGATGGCGGCTGAGGAGGCGCTGCCGTCAACTTCTTTTAAGGTCTTCTTCAAGATCATGTGACCTATCATCCTGGTCCCATCGGAAGAAGACTTCCATGCAACAGGATGCTGAAATATTTAAAGATATAAATTAATAACCAATATAACCTATCCTTCCCAAGTAAAATTCAGTTAGATACAGCCGGTTTTGAGAATCTTAACCTAATTCAATCTTTTCCCTATCTGTAAATCATATGATTTTATTCTTTCCCTTCTGTAAATCGTCTGATGAATCCTTTTCATACTTGTAAAACATCTGCCTTAGCAATTTCCCTACCTGGAAATCACTTGATTTAATAATTTTCCTTCTTGGAAATCACTTGACTCAATAATGTCCCTATCTGTAAATAACCTGATATAATCTTTCTCTAGCTGTTAATCATCTTATTTAATCATTTTCCTATCTGGTGGAAATAATCTGATTTAAACTTTCTCTATTTGGAAATCACCTGATTTAATAATTTTCTTATCTGAATATCATCTGTTTTAATCATTTTCCCATCTGGAAATCATCTGATTTTTCTCTATCTGAAAACCACCTAGTGAACCATTTTCATGTCTAGATATAATCTAATTCAATCATTTCTCTATTGGGAATTTATCTGATTTAACTTTTTTTTCTATCTGAAAATCACTTGATTTAATCATTTTCCTATCTGAACATCATCTGATTTAATAATTTATTTATCTGCAAATAACCTGATTTAATTATTTTTCTATCTGTAAATCATCTTATTTAATCATTTTTCTATTTGGAAAGTACCTGTGACATAGTAAAATTCATAAATTCTCAATACGTTGAACGAGACATTAATTAACAGTTCAAAAACTGGGACGTTTAACCTGATTTTTGAGGTAAAACTTCATATATTTCACTAACATGGATATTTCAGATATCTCGAGTCCTTTTTTTAAGATAGTTTGATTTATAAAATATGCAGCAGATAAAATGAAAGTATCAATATCAGCGAGTATTAGGTTAATATGATGAAGAGTCGTATAAAACATTACATTACACAGGAACAGAAGACAAAACTCCACGAGTTAGGATTAGCCGAAAATATCAATAGTGGATTTAAATAAGTTACAAAACCCGATATTTCAATGTTTCTGTTTGCATGACTGAAGTTTTGTTGGGGTATGGGAGTGAGGTGTGTGTGTAAAGAGTAATGTAAACTGGGTTCGTAATACCTCACATTGTGCTGATTTTCATGAAACCTCACGTAAATAACGGTGTTTTACTTGACATAATTATAAATAAACTCTAAGTCTATAAGTGTAGAATGCTTCCTACAACATGTTCATGACATCCTCAAGTGGTTTACCAGTAAGTGTACGGACTTACAATGCTAAAATCCGAGGTTAGATTCTCCATGGTGGAGAGAGCACAGAGAGTCTATTGTAGAGCCTTGCGCTAACATAAAACAAATAAAATTCATGACAGAAATACTCGTGTACAAATCTATAAGCATATCACTACAGGTAGAAATTAAAATAAAATCGATAGATATAGATTTCTATACGGTTATAATTAAGTACATAATTAGGAAAGTGGTAGAAAGAACAAAACTTGATTACTTACTTTGAGATTGGTATTTACTTACGTAGAACATTGTACCTCAAATTATCGCTTTTATAATGCATCAAAATTATATTCCACGTAGACTAACCAACATATCTAGTAATTATGTTAATGATCAATACTTTAAATTCTAGACTATACACTAATTACATGTCGTTAAATGTGAATTTTTAATGATGTTACGGCAATTAAAACTCCCGTTAACTTTAACCCCTTCGTTCTTTTCCTATTTGTTTAGGACTAATGCACACAACGAAACCTTCATTATCACACCCAGTCACATGTGACAACAACACGAGGATGTGAGAAACGACGAACTAAAATCTTGAACAAATACTGTGTTTTAACATTGTATACATCCATGTTAGATATAAATCGTGACTTGAGTGAAGTCACTCATACATCTGAGTGTGAAATAACACTTTCAGTAATTATTTACAGGTGTATTCAACGGTAATACATTTCACTACTGAGGAAACATTGGGCTATTTATGCTCTTCTCACCACGGATTTAGAAACTCGATTTTTAGCGTTATAAATCGTCAGACTTGAGCCACCAGAGAGCTTGAAGAGTTGCATGAAATGCACAATTTCAAACTAAACAGCAGCTCATAGGACCAAGTTAGACGTTCTATAAATAATGGCTAGAAGTTTTATTGAATAATAAAAGCTCTATTTATATGTTGCAAAATATTTATCTTTGCCTTTCTTAGATTATAGAATATTTATTCTTTTACATTATTTAGTCTTTTTTTATTCTTCATGAAATCCTGTTGAATGTGTGATATTGTTTTATAAACTTCACTTTATGGTGTAAAATGTAAGTAAGTTTTTAAAGACTGGTTGACTATTTTCTTGGTTGGCATTACTCACAAAAACAGGTAAATTTTAATTAAGACTTCCTTCAAAATATTATCAGTAAATTTTAATTAATGCTTCCTTCGATACATTATCACACCTAGTACAAAAAAGTTATACATATTTAACACTGTTTTTACTAGAATTTCGATAATTACAATCAGTATGAAAGCTACTTTGAAGATGTCAGTTAGTTTACAGTTTATTTCCCATTTCGTTGAACATAGCGTTGAAAACAAAGATAATTATGTTTCCAAGTTAAGAATATTTACGCTAGACATTACCTTATTATTGTTATCTTCATTTAATGTGGCGCTACTACTGGTATCTATGCCAGAGTCTTTGGTTTGCTGTTCGTCCCAAAGTTCTTCAGAATTTTGTCGAGAGGTGGCGCTGTCACGGTTGAAACGAACTGTTTTTTTATGAACCGGACTGCCTGCATCATCCCATATGTCTTGGTTGCTGTAATAACAATCTGGTCCTCTCTGTACAGCGTGGTTTTTCCTGGGTGTCGACGGAGTCTCTGAGTGACCTGATTTGTATCTGGAGTGAACACGTTCTCCTGGTGTGGAAAAGTGAATAAAAATATGACTCAAAAAAAAAAAAAGTGAGAGAGAAAGGGGGGGGAAGGGGTGATCCAGAAAAGGAATTGTTTCTACGACAAATGGAAGCTCTTACGTCATTGTGACATCGGTATTGAAAAACTTTTTTTCATTAGGAAACAAGAGTTAAAGCAAAAATAAAAGAGAGGGAGAAAGTGCAGTAAATGAAACAGTTTTCTTTAATGTTAATTTTGTAAAGTCCAGTTGATTTAATGGTCGTTCTCACATAATTAAATTTTTCAACGTGGGGTATATCTAAAACTACTAGCTTCAAATGTTTTAAAACTCTTTAAATAGCGCCTAAAAATCCTTACAGTTTGATTGCCTACCGAATAAAGTACAAGCGAACCGAATAAATAAGAAGATAAGGAAAGAAAGGAATAGAAGCCAATTGGACAATGGATCCAGCAAACAGAAGATTAATGACCATTAGTGAAAAGAAACATTATCAAGGGTAATTGATCAGTGTGTGCTCACTATAATTTGATCACAATGCCTGAAATTGGTAGAACATTTTATGTCTGTTTCGCTGTAAAATATTCCTCCTTTCTGTAACAAGTTTTTTATTTTGATATTTTATCTTTATAATTTACGTAAAGTTTCAAACCATCTTTATACGAAAATTAGTATGTCTTATGATGCCAGTCTAAAGTACACATGAACAAATTTATATTTTTCATAGTTAAATAAAACATTTCAAGTTTAAAAATATCCTCTTTTATTCCACGTTCCAAATAAGTTTTATGTTAAAAAAATAACTGTTAATAGTGAGTTAAGAAATCCCCCAAATCAATCTCTGCGAGTACATCATTCCACATTCACCAACTCTAGGTAAAGATGCAAAACTAGTCGTCCTTTTGTTTTCTAGACTGATTTTGGATAACATTTTATTTCAAGACTAAGTAACATTTTAATGTTTAACTCATTGAAAATTCCAACATCGATATTGTCTTCAATTTTTATATCTTTATTATGCAATTCAGCTAAATTTGTTTTAAATCTTAAAAACAGCAACCTGAAATCAGAAGAATTATTGTTAATAGTATTAACAGTTCTCTGCAGAAGTCCCTATATTGAAGTGTTTTAAACCGGACGAGGGTTGTTTGATCACATAAATCCTTCATTATCGATGGTTAAACATTGGTTGAGCTGACTGGCCACTAAATGCTGTCAATTTCAGTTGTTTTATACATGGCAAAATTTACAAATTTCTTAAACCCATCAATCTCGGCCTAAGCTACTTCATCAATATAGAACATGAATGAAAGCTGAGCTAATATCGGGTGAAGTAAATAAACTAACAACTACAGTTGAACTGGAAATGTCCCTGGTTTTAGACTCGGAAAGAGCTGATAAAGCAACGAATGCATTCAACACGAAAAAGCTCATCTCAGTAGCTTTGGATTATCAATTGTAGTGTTATAACGGTCCAAATAAAATCGATTAACTATAAGTAACATTAATCGCAGTGTTTAGTTGGTCCACATCGATCTTACTAAGCAAACAAATATAGCTAATCTTAATGATTTTAGACAGAGGATGACTGACTTATCATTAACATCACGGAAATCTCAACGCCCTCTCACTCAACGTAATAGACTATTATTAAATATCGGTAATCTTAGTAATTTTAGACAGGAAATGATTGAATTATCATTAACATCACGAACAATCTCAACGCACTTTCATTCAACGTAATAGACTATTACTAAATATCGCTAATTTTAGTGATTTTAGACAGGGAATGATTGGCGTATCATTGACATCACGAACAATAGCAATGTCCCTTCATTCAACGTAATAGACTATTACTGAATATCGCTAATTTTAGTGATTTTAGACAGGGAATGATTGGCGTATCATTGACATCACGAACAATATCAATGTCCTTTCATTCAACGTAATAGACTATTACTAAATATCGCTAATTTTAGACAGGAAATGATTGGTGTATCATTGACATCACGAACAATATCAACGTCCTTTCATTCTACGTAACAGACTATTACTAAATACTAGTAATATTACTGAATACACAGAAGGCAGACTTGGCCATTCATTACTAAATTCTATCAATATCACATGTATGTTTGATCAAAAAGAGTCAACAATCACACTGTAATGCTCTAAGGGCGTAGAATTAAATATAATTCGATTTTATGTTCCAAAATGGGGGCAACATCTTAAACCTTACGTATAAAGGATCATTATTTGAAAATTCAAGGATGACTGTGAAGTATCAGATGACAACACACAATTAAGTATACAGATGCTTAACAGTTATAAAAATACTTATCGAAAATGGATAACGGTGTGGATTCCGTGTATGCTATTTATGTAAATTGATTCTCAAACGTAAATTTACAATTTCCCAAAGATGTATTTCATTACACAGAATTCGAGATAATGAATAAATATTTTATTTTTACCACGGGTAAATTTAGAATTAATATAAAATAATTTCTCTCCATTTGGCTCAAGAGTACATTTATCACACTGAATGTAAATGTAAAAGCATTTAGACTTCATTATCACTTCAATTTATTTGTTTTGCCATTTTTGGATAGATGTGAGCACACAAATATTATATTTTGAGGCAATGAAATGAATGATATAACTGGTCTGTGGTACAACACTATAAAATATTAAAATTTAATACATGAGTAACTTTTTGTAAATGGAAAAAAAATCTACAAGAGTGTGTTATTTCAGTTTAAAACGAAATCTTCATTTTGAAAATTTCAGCGTCTACGCAAGCCTCTTCTTAAATGGTTTCAAAGTGTAGTATACATTTTTGTAAAATAGACTGTTGCTATTTGATGAGATATCATACTGATATTACTGACTGTAACGCTAACTGATGTAGAAATAGCAATTATGATTGCTTACTTTTAAATTTCAGTTTTGTGAAATAAAGATAATGAATCTACTTACCCACAAAATATATCTTAACAGTGTTTATTAAAAATAATATAAAGTATATTATACTCGACGTATAGACACAACAAGACGTAATAATTCATAGCACATTCGACTGCAAATAGCAGTTTTATTTAAAAATCTCGCAGAGAATCTGAAGATAAACCACTGAAAATACATTAAATATTCAGTTGGCTGCAGAGCTGAAAGATACTATACATACTCAGTTGGCTGCAGAGCTGAAAGATTCTATAAATACTCAGTTGGCTGCAGAGCTGAAAGATACAATAAATACTCAGTTGGCTGCAGATCTGAAGGATACTATAAATACTCAGTTGGCTGCAGAGCTGAAAGATACAATAAATACTCAGATACTTTCAGCTCAATTGGCTGAAGAGCTGAAAGATACTTTAAATACTCAGTTGGCTACATATCTGAAAAAATTTTGAATATTCAGTTGGCTGAAGAGCTGAAAGATACTTTAAATACTCAGTTGGCTACATATCTGAAAAAAATTTTGAATATTCACTTAGCCACAGATCCGAAAGTTACTCTGAATACTCACTTAGTTACAAGTCTGAAAGATAGTTTGAATACTCAGTTTGCTGCAGATTTGAGTGATATTTTAAATACTCAGTTGGCTGCAACTGTGTCTCTGTGACGGAGAAAAAAGCTACCATATTTTTATTTTACTGGCAGCAGTTTATCGCTTTCAGTTATTTTTATAATTATAATGCTAGAAGCGTTTTTATATCACCATTTTCATGTTATCGTTACTATGGTTACACTATATCTGCTGTGGTCTTCACCACCTGACAAGGTAACTTTACATGCTTGTTGGATAGTACACGTGGCTAAATAATATTGTTCATAAACTCTAATTTTAACAGCGTACTAATTAGAGTGATATTCAAATTTGAAATCATTTATATAAATCCTATTTTTTCTTTAATTATTTGTATGCTTTAACCGAGTCATCTTAGATTTGTATTATAGTTCTGTACTATAATCAAGGATTGAAGAGCAAAATAAAATCCAAATTTATAAAGACAAGATTTAAATGCTGCCTCCCTAGGTTTGTTTTTATTCTACTGTTAGCCGCGGCATAGCGGCTCATAAAATAGCTCCGTTTTTGTTTTGTTTTTAAGTCCAAACCTTTAGCTCCGTCATCTCTTGACTGATTTCAGATCCAATTACAGTTTTGGATTCAGGGGGTCAAACCTTTTCGACTGATGTACTTGACCACGCTCAAGGTCTCATAAATTAATTCACTCTAATTCTGCCTAAAATAATTTCAATTTGAGGGTAGTCTGGTAGAGATCCTGGTGAGTAATAAAATCGAATCGAATCGAGTATACGAGCGCCCGATACTTGATATTACTGGCGTATAAAAATATAACTAATAAAAAGGAAAAAAAGGTCTCATGGATTAATTTACTCTAATCCTGCCTAAAAAAAAAAAGATCAAGTTCCGCGGCTATTTTATTACAAGCCTTTTCACGTGCAGTCGGTAAACAATAGTTTTAGTTGTAGATCTTAAGAACATATCTGCTCCTAAATTTTAAGTTGTAACTTAATTTCACACTTGATTCTTGGGAATAAAAATTAAATCTGATAAGTCGTGTATTAACATCGTTCTTTGAGTTCTACATTCGCAGCTGTCTCTACCATAAAGATTCATTCTAACGTTCTCATTACGTAGTGTGCTAATTTTGTTTGCGTCATATACGTGAAGAAATGCTTATTTCTGAACAAACACTGTTTGAAAGTATAAGCAAGCCGAAGGAAGACTTAATATGATTAGTCTTTTACATTTTATGATGAAAAGACATAAATACCTTTTGTTTAAAAACAACAAAAACACTTCAACTTATTAGTAGAATGAGGCCTTTTAACTAAATAATCTAAGTACAGCATCAGTTTTGAAACTGTATACATGATCAGGATAATAATTTTGAAAAATTGTTTGATAAATAGACACATAAACGAATAGCTGTACAAAAAAGATATGTTTAGATCACCTTTACGCTGCGACTTCAGAAACATGGTATTCATTTAAGATACACAAGTGACGCTTTTTTTTAGCTTATGTTAAAATAACGGCTAAATACAATGTGTTAAAAAACAACCAAAGTAATAAATTAATACGTTCCAGTGTTGTCTGAAATATTGTCCTTTAATGCGCATGTTTTCTCAAAATAGTTTTCTACTTCTATAGTTACTCTATGAGCTTCTTTATTTTGTTTGAAATACTTGATCTTAATTCCGTGTAGACATATTCTTTCTTTTCTAGTCTAAACATGATCCATTCGGTTTTCAATTGGCCCCCGTGACATTCATAAGTAGCATTCAAACGGTTATCCACTAAATCAGCGTTTGTTCGTCATCAATGACTGAATAAGCTGAGACAATACTGCCATAAAACTTTATCTGGAACTGCAGCTGTTAGCTTACCTGTTATTATCGAACAATAGCCGGCTAAACGTTCGGTTAAGAACAATGCAGTGAGCTGATAAGATGAATGAAGTTTGGAACTTGCGAAAATCGTGTGGAAAAAGAAAGAGAGAGAGAGAGCAGGACTAGAAAAAAAGAAGAACGTTGAGGTGACAAACAGAAAAAAGAAAATACAATGAATGGAAAGAAAGACTGCAAATGTGATAGGGATAGAGATGAAAAGAAAGAAGAAGCACAGTGTAAGAAAGAAATTCAAAATGAAGAACGATAAAATAACTTACAAAAACAAGAGAGAGAGAGAAATAAAAAAATCGTTAAACAGATAGACAAATTTGTTTGCAAGAGTGTGTAATTTTTGAAAAATGTTTCTTACTCGAGGGAAAAAAAGGGGTAGGAATATGTACTTGTTCTTTTTAAAAAAATATTTGGCCCCCCTCCCCGTTGTACAAAATGTGCGCAAAAAAGTCGAATTTAACTTTTAGTATTCTGTTTTTATTTAACAGTGAACAATCAATACAATGTCATTGACAGCTCGGTTTTGTTAGGAAAGGCGCATGCCGCGTTTAACATGTACGGTCTTCATGTATATTCGTTATGTATTTTAGGTATTTTTACATTTAATCATAAGAATTTTACAGGCAGTATGTAAAATACCCCGCGCACGAACTAACCAATAAAAAATAAAATGATGGTTTACATCAATACTGTCACGAAGTAAAATCTTGTTTGATATGTACATGCCCATAGATGTGTTACAATTTGAAGCTTTCTGTAATTTTGTTGTTGTTGTATATTCTTCTTAGAACTGACAGTCACACTTTACTAGCTCCTACTGTAGACGTTAATATCACAATATCGTTGGATTCATTTAGATACTTTCACTACTGTACATGTGATAGAGACTTTACGAATTCACTGGATACGAATAGTTGTGTATAAAGTTTTGGTTCAAAGTTTAGTTGCCCATTTTTAAATGTTCTCGTGTATGTGTTACACTTGCGCAGTTCAGAATTTTTAGGAACTTTCGTGGCTCTCTAAACATTCACACGGAGTGTTTTATTATCTATCAAAAATAAATGAGGAAAAAAATAACTGTCACACGCAAATATTATCCTTCTAACAAATATCGGGCTTTGAGCTCTATGAATTACACGTCCCTGGTTTGTTTCAAAATCTTTGTGCAGAGTTATACAAAGTTCTATATGTGCATAGGCGTTCCTAATGGACTAAGAGTAGACGAAGAAAGCCAATTAACAACAGCCATTATTGGCTATTCTTGTGTGACCGAATAGATTTGACTGCCGCTTTTATAGCGCATGTATTCCCCAAACCATAAACACCCGGATTCACAGTCTGATTATGCCAAACACTAGATCACGCCTGGTACGTAGGAACTAGCGAGTCAGAGAGAAAATAAAAACAAAAAGAGAAGGAAAGGTAAAATGCAAAAATAATAGAGAAAGCCTAAGCAGGTAATATAGGAATAAATCAAAGAACAGAAACACAATGAAAATGTAAAGATTCGTTTGTAGCCATGCGGAGGAAAGGGAAGTGACTGATTAGAAAAGAAAAGGAAATAAAAAGAGAAGAAAAAATTGTGAGTTAACCTTCAAAATTCTGAAAAATTATCAAAATAAATAGCGCTATGATTTAAGCTTTTGACAGAAGGCAGATTTACAAGGAAAGTTTGTTTGTTTGTTTGAAGTTAAGCACAAAGCTACACAATGGGCTCACTGTGCTCTGCCCACCACGGGTATCGAAACCCGATTTCTAACGTTGTAAGTCCGCAGACATACCGCTGTGCCACTGGGGGGGGGGCGAATACAAGGAAAGACGAATAAAGAAGAATGTGAAAAATTGGAGGAAGAGACGCATAGAAATTGAGAGTATAACAATGTTTAGAACAAATATAACAATTAAACTGAAGCTGAAAGAGCATCACAAAATAAAACAGGTCAAAAAAAGAAAAAGGATATGGGAAAGAATGAGAATCAAGTGCCATTAGTAGTTGATGTTTTAGAATATTAGTGCATATAAATAAAATGCTCATTATGTGCATATTTAAATCGAATGCAAATATTTTATAACAATTTTCCTCGAGAATACAAATCGCCTACAGTTTCTTTAGGAATTATAATTTTTTACCTAAATGTCACCTTAAGCACACGTGGGCTAAATGGCAAAGCCAGAGGACTCCAGGGTTTAGGTATAGCCGCCCTAATTTTGAATTAATGGCCAGAGGAAAAACAGTCAGTTAGTAGCACCCACCGTCTAAAAGTCTTTGTATGGATCTTTGAACCGAATAATGGGATTAGCTGTTACTTTTATAACGCGTCTTCAGCTGAAAATGCTGAGTGTTCAGCACCATTACGTTTCGAGACTTGGACGCTATGGTCCAGAGGCGTTGTCTTTTGAAGACATATCAACACCAGGGAATAAGAGTATGACAAAATAAGATATTTATAGCGAATAACTGTTGTCATGTTATTCAGAAAAATAACTGGTATAAGTCCATCACAAATATAGACAGCCCACCAAACTTAGCCGCCTGACACCTTACATCTGGAATCAAGTACACAGGGTATATGCTTCTTTGTGCTTTTTCCGCACATAAACCTCCTTAATGGGAAAATAACTCAATCTGATTCACTTAACCAGAATAATTTGCAAAACTTGGTCGATTATCTTAGACAACCATGTCAGATCATACAGTTTTCTCAGACGTTGGTTTTTGGTATGAATTATTGAATTCTGAATATATTGTTTTGTTTTTTTATCTTTTCCCTTTCAGTGTACGACGGTTTCTATCACACATAGAAGGTTTCTGACCCTACTACTCTTTGTAGGGGAAGGTGGGGTAAGATGGCCATTTTCATTTTGGATATGCTTTTCAGATGAGTTTCATGAAAAAACAAAATGTTAAAAAAATTAATCGAGATTTATTATATATATGTATCATTTCCACTTAAACCAAAGATTGAACATAGACCTTTTTCAGATATTGAAAGAAACACAACTGCAATTTGAAATAAATGTTGCACGTAGTAACTACATGCAAGTTTTATTTCAATTCTCCGAACATGGACCGAGAAAACTAACTACTGACGTTGTTCAGTTTCGTATAACGACCAAAATTTCCCAAATTAGAAACAATGGTTATGATGTTTTATAAGACATTGTATTTCAATAGCAGAACAGGAAGACAGACAGAAAAATAGGTAGATAAATAGATGCGAATGTATATTAATAGATTCTTTTATAATACTTGCGATTACGCAAACTACCTACACAATAAAAATTGATGCCTTTTCACATAAATCCTACCTTGTTCTATGACACCTTCAATATCCCCGTCATCGCAACTGGACCATTCCGGGGTTGTTTTAATCTCGTCATCCGGAGTTGTTTTAATCTCGTCATCCGAACTACTTGAAGACCTTTGGCGTTGTATTTTTCCACGCCTGTGTTTATGAGGTTTAGACCTCGTATATTCAGATTGTTCAGAACCGTATGATTCATTTCTGGGATCCCCTTTCTTTCGTACATAATTGCTAAAGCGCCCCCTTGTGTCCGCGTTCGAAACTGATGTGGGACCGAATCCCGACATTTCCTTTCTCCACTCTTCACTGCTTCTTGAAACTTTTGAGATGTGCCGACTCTGTGTGTCTTCTGGATGTATAACTATCTCATCAACATAGTGATCAAGCTCTGAAAACCTTTTTTGATGATGAGATTCTCTAAGATCCTGAGCTTTCCCAGAATCTCGACGATTTCTATTTTCTGGGTCACGTCGTCTTTCACGGTCATACACATGGGAGTAATTACTACCACGCCCTCTTTCGATGGGCACATCGCGAGATCGTTCTCTCTCACTTTCACTGGTCTGTTGTGGTTGTCGTTCCAAGGACCCATTCCTAGAACTCCTATCTCTGGCTCTGTACTCGTCTCGATTCGCAGCATCAGAGAACTGAATATCTTCACGTCTAATTTCTCGAGTTCCTCTACGTCGATTACGAAGAGATGACTCTCGCGATCTTACCAACTCTGATTCACGTAGTTCAGCGTCATTCCTCGTAGGTGGCGACAGTGAAGGGTCTCTAGACCGCGCGCCATCTCGCTGCATATGGCGCCCTCTTTCTAGATTATGTCGGTGATGTCTTTCGTCTGCTGCGTCGTCTCTTAGCTCTGAACCAGGTCGTCTTCTTCGGCGATCACTGCTGGATGGTGACCTTCTCTCAGAAATGGAATTTCCCCTTTCATGTAATATCGCATCCCCAGCTTCAAGCGAACGTCTAGTGTGTCGATCGGCGACGTTTTGTCTTTGACTCGTTTCTTCTTGTGAATATTGTCTTCGGAGTTCCCGACTTTTGGAACTTCCTGATCTTTTCAATGAGCCACGCCTACTTCCAGGTAAAGACTGTCCACCCCCAGAATGGAGTGAACTGAGGTTGTCCTGCGGAATGCTTTCCCTGTCCGTACTACGAGCTTTCTCTAAACGAGGTCGTCTTTCTTGTTTCTGCTTAGAATCAGAATGTTCGATAAATGTCTCTGAGCTAGGACTTGATTCAAGACTTTGTCCTTCGTTGTTATTAAGATTGCTGTGTACCCACTGTCCGGTTTTGATGAGCAATTCTTGTTTCTTGCGGCATAGGATACAAACCCAAATAACCTAAAAAAATTGATTTACTTATAAGTTCAGGAAAACAATACAAGCATTTGTAACACATTAACAAACTTACTCGCAAAATATTTACAATATTTACAAAATGTATCATACACATACTCAAACTTGACTGAAACAAGTAAATTACTACAAAATAAAAAGAACATAAAGTTGTGCTCATATAATAAGATTTTCCACATATTTCTTAAAATTTAAGAATTCCCTATTAAAATATTGAATTATAGTCTTGTTCTCTAACACGTTATACTGAAACAACTGGCCCCCTAGTGGTACTGGGGTATATCTGCGGACTTACAACACTAGAAACCGGGTTTTGATACACGTGGTGGGCAGAGCACAGATAGCCCATTGTGTAGCTTTGTGCATAACTACAAACAAACAAACTGTCTTTATGTTATCCTGCAATACTTTTCTTATAAAAACGTCGCATACTATAAAATGAGGATTTGTTTATTGAAATTACCGTGTTATGACAGAATTAAATGTAATTTAAATAATTCTGATGGTCTCAACATTGGACGGTTTTCGTCCTCTTCTTCCCCTGTGGAAATTTATACTGTGTGTTATTATTATTTGACACTACTGTGTAGGGTTTATAAAAATCAGCAGTTGGATCAGATAGGCAACTGGAACTAGAAAGCCACTAAGCGAGGAGATCCGGTATAAGTTAGAGTCAGGATTCCACGAGGTAACGAGCTCCAGGATAGATTGGAGCCAGAATTCCACGAGGTAACGAGCTCCAGGATATGTTGGAACCAGAATTCCACAAGACAACGAGCTCTGTAATAAGTTAGAGTGGGGATTCCATGAGGTAGTGAGCTTCGGGATAGGTTGGAGTCAAGAATTTCACGAGGTAACAAGCTCTTGGATAAGTTGGAGTTCTGGACCTTCAAATAGGAATAGTTATTGAATGCAGCATTACTTGTACGACATGTCAATACATTTTAGCTCTTCTATTCATATTCATATTCTATTTTATTCATGCTGCTCAAAGGGAAGACAAGAAAATTGTGCCTACCACTCAATATTTTTAATTCCTTAACCCTTACGAATTGTGAAAACCGTTATGAAATAGAACTGCCCTTTGGCTGAAATGGCAGCTCAGGAGTACATGCTAACACACCTACTGTGCGCATGGAACTATACGCTGCCGGATTTCACGAACAGTTGCAGTTCTCATGGTTCTTTGGGACGCGATAGTAGGGCGAAGAAGAAAAGAAAAACCTTCGAAGTGAGCAATGAACCCTGTTTCTCAAGAAAAATAGTCTGGACTTGATGGTATCCTGGAAAACACTCCTTGGGTATTAATTTGTAGTCTTAATCACCAATCGTATATATTGGTGAAGGGTAGTACACCAAGAGCGTTAAACTTGGTCCACTAATAGTCGTTTAAAAAGGATCGAATGGCTGATTGTGTTGTGACATTCTGGACAATTTTGTCCTTGATGCTTTGATTGGATAATGCACCATGCTATGCCTTCTAGACAGACCTTGAAATATTACTAAACTTGAAACTCTTTCGCAGGAGTAAAGGCGATATGTTTCATCAGATGTGTGTCAACAGTTGGTGAAAAGTGTTAGTAACAAAGCCAAAGTCATGATTAACATCAAGTGTGGGTTCGTTCCTTATTAAAATACCAACGTTGAAACATGACCCTTACTTTTTCTCAAAGTACCATTAGTGTTCAGTAGCATAGTATATATATATATATAAATGTTTGTTTGTTTGTTTACATAATTACTTTGAACTGAACATATCTTTTGTATCAAGTTCAGCAGTGGTAACATTATAATGTGACTATTCGTTGACTGAAAATATCCAAAAAGTTGGCGATGGATGATTTTCATTAACTCCTTTTCAAAATTAGGGGCGGCTAGAATAGATAGTTGTCGATTCAATAACAAATTTCATTTTTTTTTAATTAGCTTTTAAGTTGGTTATGACAAAACAGTTAAGATGGTTTATTGTTGTTGTTTTTTCAGCTACTGGGGTCTTTAATTATTTCCTGTTGGAAAGATATGCATATTTATACGGGCTTGTTTAACTAAAACATATTTTCGCTATCACAATCACTCTTTATAAGATTTTATCATTCAGGTTACTTAGTTTAACCCACTCTTATCTTGGTATCGCTAGTATTGTTCATTTTAATAATTAAAAAAACAACAACTAATATTGTGGGGAATTGTTATCTTGAATATGAACGATGAGGAATTCAGCTTCGGAAATAAATCCATATTTTCAGGTTCCGGTTCGGTGTTACTTTGTCAGCCATGTTGGTCTAGGTAACAACGTAGTCACACATCAGAGTAAAAAAAAAACTATTGTCTTTTACCCTAATATCTACACTCTGACGTAACTACAGAACTGTGGCGTGCGCAAACCGTATAACCAATTTTTAGGACTATGATATTATCAATATTATTATTATAATAATTGCATAAACTTATTACGCTGTTAATAAACTATTTTTGTACGTTACTAGAAATATATTAAAACACTATAATATACAATGGTAGTGTTGTCCAGGTACTAAAATATTACCAAAATATTACAGGTTGTTGTGACATTATGTTTTTGTCAATGTACAGAAACACTGTGATAAATCAACAGTAATGTGCTGCCTAATTACAAAATATCACGGTACAAGAAAAACAGTGTTTGTTCGTGTACAGACAAAATGTCATGATATTAAGACAACAGTGTTTGTTCATGTACCGACAAAATATCATGGCATTAAGACAACAGTGTTTGTTCATGTACCGACAAAATATCATGGTATTAGGACAACAGTGTTTGTTCGTATACGGACAAAATATCACGGTACTAGAACAACAGTGTTTGTTCATGTAGCAACAAAATATGACGTTACTACAACAACAGCAGTGTTTTGTTCACGTTCCGACAAAATATCACTGCACTACAACAATTGTTTTTATGTCATATACTGTAAAAAATAAAAAGATATTACATCGACAGTGATTTGTTCATGTATAAAAATCATGGTTCTACACCCATGATTCTGATAAATCACGTAGGATAAAATCGAAAGACAAGAAACCTGATAATCGACAGTTATAGGATTTCTTTTAAGGTTATACAAAAACAGATTGTTATCCTGTACTCAAACATCGTGGTAATAGAACAACAACGGTATATTATTCCAAAACCTCATGTTGGTAAAACAACCAAAAACAGTACGGTAATACAATTATTCGTGATATTCAAAACCACCCATGAGCAACAGAAAACAAGTTAGCACCAGAGGCAAAACCCGATAACTCAAGTGCTTTATAAAATTGGACTTTTCTTCACTAGGAGTAAATAGAACATGGGTTAAGGAAAACCCATTTTACGAAAGCGTTCATGTTTCTGCGTTTCTTTCCACACAATGTTAAAAAATCATAGAGAATTACAAAAAATAAATAAGTCACCAAACAAGAAACCTGTTAACCGAAAGAGTTATCGGATTTCTTGTTCGATAATTCAACAACATTTTGCTCCCTTGTACGAAAACATCACGTGATAACAATAACATGTTTTTCATGTAGTGACGCATCACCGTAATAAAACAATAACATGTTAAAATCTCATGGCTATATAACTACAGTTATGTGTCATAACATCATAGGAGCCCCCCAGTGGCACAGCGGTATGTCTGAGGACCTACAACGCTAGAAACCGGGTTTCGATAAAAGTGGTGGGCAAAGCACAGATAACTCATTGTGTAGCTTTGTGCTTAATTCCAAACAAACAAACAAAACATCATAGGAACACAATCAATGGCATATTAAAGTTAGCTGGCGCCCTAAGCCCACAATTTTAGATGCGCCCCTTCCCTTTCGACTGACTTACTATCGTATTAAGGTTAGCTGGCGCTGTAAGCCCACAATTTTAAATGCGCCCCTTTTCTCTCGACTGACTTATCATCATATTAAGGTTAGCTGGCGCTCCAACCCACAATTTTAAATGCGCCCCTTCCCTCTCGGCCGACTTACCATCGTATTAAGGTTAGCTGGCGCTCTAAGCCCACAATTTTAAATGCGCCCCTTCCCTCTCGACTGACTTACCATCGTATTAAGGTTAGCTGGCGCTCTAAGCCCACAATTTTAAATGCACCCCTTCCCTTTCGACTGACTTACCATCGTATTAAGGTTAGCTGGCGCTGTAAGCCCACAATTTTAAATGCGCCCCTTCCCTCTCGACCGACTTACCACCGTATTAAGGTTAGCTGGCGCTCTAAGTCCACAATTTTAGATGCGCCCTTCCCTCTCGACTGACTTATCACCGTACTAAGGTTAGCTGGCGCTCTAAGCCCACAATTTTAAATGCGCCCCTTCCCTCTCGACTTACTTACCATGAAAATTATCCACCAATATAAAAACACAAATAAATTAAAATGCAAGTAAATGGATGGAAATTTGTTTTTATTAAACTTACTTTGAAATTTTTCCCTAAGAGGCGCCCCTCAAATTGTTGCACTCTAGGCCAAGGCTTTGAAAGCCTATTAGTTAATATGCCCCTGAAGACAACAGTAGTTTGTTGTAGGTCACGGTCAAAGTATTTGTATTTTGTATTTATGGCAAAACTACTAATGGTATCTGTCGGTCCCTAATTTTGAAGTACTAACCGGAGGGAAGACAGCCAGAAAGCAGCACTGTAACACCCACACTTAGGTATTGACTGTCGCTCTTATAATGCACCTACAGCTTAAAGTGCGTGGAATATTTTGTGATATCGCAAGAATTCGAACCCATCTCGCCAGCCTGACAATACAGAGGTCTACCACAGGTCTAATCTGCGCCCAAAAAATCGTCTGAGGGAGAATTTTTAAAAAAAATAAATAAATACATTAAAAAAATTAAAGTAAAAATACAGTTCGTGTGTTGCTTATATTGAGTTGATTTCTTAAGTTTTGTTTGATAATTTTAAACTTTTGCCTAAACAAAATTAGGGTAAAAGGTGGAGCAAAGAATTACTGTAT